GAATTTTGTTTTAGTTTTATTAATTGCAACATGAAAGTGGCATAAGGTGGAATACACAATTTCACCATTACAAGGAAGAAATTCAAATTCAGTTGACTTGGTGCATTTTGCATGGCAAAGCCTAAACAAGTCAGAGTCTGCCAAAAAATCAGCACTCTCATCTCAAATAACATAAAAATATTGTTCCCCTTTACATTGGTATTCATATAGTGAATGTCCACTTGAGTACACAATGAAAAGCTCAAATTCAACCTTAACTTTTGGTTATGTGGCCCCCCCGCCCCTCAAGTTGTTAGTTAAAGCATAAGAATGATTGGTATTTGGTAATGAATTGAAAAGTATGACTAGAAATCAACAGTTTTGATGGTGTAAGTAAAGAGAAAAAAAATCAAAGATGTTTGAGTGTGAGGATATCTGCTCAATTGAAGTTGCATCATGAACTGACTTTTTGAAATATATCAGTAATAATAAACTTGCCATTTTAAATTTTTCTGGATCCAGAACTTCATGTAGAAATCACAGATATCAAAAATTTGGACGCAGTGATCAACATTCCCAATTTGAATCCCATGCTATTTCCTGTTGCCTCCCGAATGGCTAGTGTGCATGCATCCCTACTTAAAAGCTTTTCAATAAGCATTCTCAACCTTAGAGTTGAACTCATAGTACTTATTCACATAGTTTGCTTCCCTTTTGTATGGTCTTTTGTAAAAAAAAACTTGCGTTGCTGAAATAGTTAGAAAGGTTACAGTACATCCATATCTGGAGCTCTGACCATTAGTAATTAGAAGAGTAGATTGAGCTTCTTGGTCACTCATGTATTCAGGAATAAGCTGTGGAATATTTCTTTGTTTACTCGAACAGTCCTCAAATATTCATTACTCAAAACCAAAGCAAAGTACTGTGATGCTGAAAATTTAAATAAAAATAGTGCTGCAGAAACCCGGTAGGTCCGGCAGCACTTGTGAGAGATTTAAATAGAGTTAACATTTTATACCAATTATAAGTCATATTGACCATGAAATGTTTATTCTGTTTTTCTCTCTCCAAAGATGTTGCTGGACCTGCTGAATTTCTCCAGCACTTAATGTCTTGATCTCAAGTATTGTTTGCCCAATGTGAGACTAATCTACAGACCCATCTGTTCAGACTACTGAACTGTTGTAGATCGCACAACAATAGTCAGGTCCTATGCTGCAAATTATCTTTAAATAATGTCACAGTATTCATTGCCTCTTCTGTTGCAGATTAATAAGCTCATCATAAATTATTTTTGAACTATTCATTTCTGAACATCTTTAAATATATTTATATATTTTTAAAATGGGCATCTGCAAATTAGTATAGGCTTTATTTGAATTCCATTCTGTTGATGGTTTTCAATGACTCTGATTTCATTTGAGCCACATCATGAGATCACTGGTTTGTAATTCATTAGATGATACCTATTAACCATTAGTGGTTAACTGTATATTACTTTATTGTTGGGGTGGGGCAAGGAGAGGAAGAGTTGTGATGGAGAGTTACTGACACTTATATCAGAATGTTGCCACTTTTTGTAACCTTTTATGAGAGACCTGCTTCTTTCACATTGCTTTAGCCAACTTTTGTAAACTCTCATGAAATAAATTACAGTCATGTTATTTACCTCGATCACCTATTTAAACTGTTTGTACTGTCACCTTTGAAAATATATGATGTAGAAATTAACTTAAAAGTAATCTACTGTTCTGGAAACTATGGAATATCTCAGCTTTATGTTAGTTTGCTATAGTGTTCGCTTGTTTATTGTGCAGTTCTTGGAGATCCATCATTATCCTGGCAGCATTGAAGTGTACAATAAATATGGACAATTGCTTACCATTTCCAAAAATGCCATATTTAAAACCATTGTTTTGATGTTGAATGTCTTTTATATAGTTTGGAGTATATACTGAACAAAAACAGAAGTTGCTGGAAAAGTTCAGCAGGTCTGGTAGCATCTGTGAAGGAAAAGTCAGAGTTAATGTTTCAGGTCTGGTGACCCTTCCTCAGAACTTACACTGATTGTCAAAGTGAACTCACTCTATTCTATATCTTATAGTCGTTCTTTGAGTTACACTACCCACAAGGTGATCTCTTATACCAAGCTTTCCATAGCCCAGTACAATAGTATAATTCATATGTTTTAATGAAAAATACATAGTTTCCAGTTCTGTCATAAGATCATTAGAAATATGGCACAGGATTAGACCATTTGGCCCATCAAAGCCTACTCCACCATTCAGTAAAATGTTGGCTAAGCTGGTTGTGACCTTTACTACTTTCCTGCCTGCCTTGTCCTTCATAACCAATTACTCTCTTCTCAATCAAAAATCTGTCAACTTTAAATATTTTCAACAGCTCAGTCTCTACTGATCTCTGGGATAGAGAATTGCCAAGTTTAATGACTTAGAGAAGCAATGTCCCTTCATCACTATCTTGAAAAGTTGCCTCTTTATTTTCAAACTGCCCCTGAGTCTGAGATCACCCCCTGGGGAAAACATGCTCTAAGGACTTATCCTGTCAAACTGCCTCAGAATCTTGTATATTTCAATAAGCTTATCTCCCATTTTGCTAAACTCCAATGGTTAAAGGCCTACTTTTATCGAACTTTCTTCTTAAGAAAATCACTTCATTTCAGGAATCAGCCTAGTGAGCTATTTCTGAACAGTTTTCTACGCGAGTATATCCCTCCCTATGAAAGGAGACCAAAATGCAGATGGTCCTGTAGGTGTGATCTCACCTGCACCCTGTAAAATTGTAGCAAGACTTTCCTAATTTAGTACCCCACCCCGTTGCAATAGAGGCCATGTCATGCTACATTACGGTCTTTTGCACATGGTTTACATTTCAATTTTAACAGGACCGAAGGTGAAAGAGTTACAGATTTTTGACTTAAATCACATTCCTATGAGGCACATATCATGTAGCTTTCCCCAGTTAACTGAGTGGAACTAAACTCTGACACCAGCGTATGGTTTCCGTAACTGTGGCTGTTAATTTTCCAAACACTGTATGCTGTTAAGTCCTTTTTTATAACTGTTATAATGAAGCAGAGATCACTTAACTGTGAAAACCTTACCAAAGGATGTTTTGCTAATTGTCTTTACAGAGAACTTATAAGACTATGTTAGATGACAAAATATTTGCCATAAATTTAAACATCATAACATTTTCGGTCTATTGATGGTGGATGAGATTAAAAGCAAGAGGACTGATTCTATTAAATATAAAATGTTACCTGTATTACACTTGAGGAGCCTGATTTAAATCCGAATCTTGGGATATCGAAACATATATGATTGGTATGATCAATTAATTACTTACTTTTACAACAATTCTTTACTTTTTTTCCACAAGAGGTAAGGTATTAAAGAGTACAAGCAGCGATTCTGCTATAGAAGTTTAAAATATTGAAACAAGCTTCATCTGTAACAGATTACATGAGTTAACAAATCTATTCTTTAATTTGAGTCAAATCCAATAAACTAATTTGTTTATCAAATCATTGCACTGTTCCTATCACAGAAATAATAGGTGAAAAATGTAGTCTTTTGTTTGATCTGCTGGCATTTGTTATCTCATAAACTGATTCTGTTTCCTTTTCAACTTTTCTGTTTTGAATTTGGTCACATTTGCACTTCACATAAAATATTTTTCCCCCAAAAGTATTTGTCAGAACTCACTGGACTTGAAACGTTAACTCAGTTTTTCTCTCCATAGATACTGCCAGAACTGCTGAATTTCTTTAGCACTTTCAATTTTTGTTCCAGAAAATGAAGGCCCAATTTAGTCAGCCTCCTGTTATAGGACAGCTCTCAGTCCAGGCATCAATGTAATGGACTTTTGCCTCCCATGCAACATTATAATTTCATACAAAATAGAGACCAAAACTATGCTCAGTACTCTACATGTGGTCTCACAATATACAATTTTAGCATCGACTCCTTTATTCTTGTACTCCAGTTCCCTTGTAAAGTAATAAAATGTGTCAATCGCTTTCCTAATTGCTCACCATACCTGCATGCTGACTTTGAGTTCCACATGAAGTGCAAACAAGTCTGCCTGACCATCAACATTTAGATGTTTTACACATTTTAAATATTCTGCTAATCTGTCCTTACTACCAAAATGAATAATTTCACACTGTTCCATATTGTATGCCATCTGCCACCTCTTTGCCCATTTACTTACCCTGTTGATATCTCTTTTCAGCCTCTTTTTGTGCTCCTCACACTAAGTTCATACCTAACTTTATGCCATTAGCAAAATTAAGTGCATTACTCTAACTGTTGATTCAAGTTATAAATATAGTTTGCAAATATCTTGGACCCCAGCACTGATCCTTGTGGCATTCTACTAGTTACAGCCCACTTGCTTGAAAATGTCCCTTTATCCCTACTCTTTGCTTTCTGTCTCTTATCCTTTCCTCTATCCATGCCACTATATTGCCCCAACTGCATGAACCTTGACATTACATACTAGTGTAGCACCTTTTTGAATGCTTTTTTTGTGAATTCAAGTAAACTGCATTTATTGGTTCCCTTTTATCTACCCTCCTGGTTACATCTTCAAAAAAGTCCAATAACTTTGTCATCCAGATTTTCCTTTCATAAAGCCAGTCTTGTCATCCTGTGATTTTCCAAGTATATTTTTAATGACTAAGGTCAGAATTTCTATTCTCTTTCCAAGAAATTTAACTTGGATCACAGAAGAATTTGTGGGTGATCTGCTTCATTGATTATCTGAAATAAAAATGCAAATTAATAGATGAAAATTTGCATTTTAACTAACGCAGGATCAATTTAAACGCAACATAATATGCAGTCCTACTGATCTGTTGGGTTTATGATTGTTTTATGCCAGAGTGTCTCTAAGAGGTATGATTAATAATTTAGCAACTCCAAAAAATAGCTACGGACTGAAAATTGCTGGTGTTCTTACTCACTTTACTTGCATGTTCTGTTATTGTATTATAGAATGTCTCAAAGGTACAGTTGGAGCTCTTTTGCTGGAAAACCCAACAGGTCAGAATGGGCTGACGTACGCTGGTCTTTATCATGAGGCAGCCAAAGTATTTGGCCTCAGAAGCAAGAAGCTAAGATTGTGCCTAGGTGATACCAAAGCAGAAGGTATGTCTTGTTGATGTAAGCACTGACTAGGAGAGCTAGGGAGCAACTTAATTTTGAGACTTCAGTACTCCAGGAGTACAGAGAACGTTAAATTGTGACAATTCGTTTTGCCCACGCATAACTTCAACTTTAGTATCTACAGCCCCAGTTTTCCTTTGAATATACCTCTGGTACGTGTTCCAAATACACATTCTTTCCCCTTTCTCACTCAGGACCTTTTTAGGTTTGTGATGCTTGCTGAGTACTGGAAATTTAATTTGACTACTTTAAATGTTTTACTACTTTATTTTGTATGTGTGACATGTTCCTACCTCCGCTCGCTGTTTGCTTTGGTAAACGTTCTTGAGACACTATAAGTAACTATTAACGCTACTTGAATGCTGAGTTTGTGTGGTACCCTCATTTATAAATCAACACTGCAGCTCTGAACTCAAAGTTGTATTGGGAACTCTTACTTTTTTTGTTAATGGCATTTGTCACTTGACTCTGAACCACGGCACCAGTATTCTATACAAAAATTGTTCCTGGCAGATGAAGGTGATTTGAAAAAAAACAGATTTAATTCAGTGACAGCAGCAGAGGAAAAAAATATTCTTGCACAATTGTTAATGCTCCAGAATCTCTTTGTTTCTTTAATGGATCAGACCTTAAATATAATCATGAAGACTCTGTTTTTATTAATTGCATGCTTAATTACAAAAGTAAGTCTGTGCTGACTTTCAATATTTTAAACTGGCTATCATGTTTGTTTGCAACTACTGTTTGTTGATCTTAAGCTCAGAAATGTTAAGGACAAGAATGTAAAAGATCAAAGTGAGTTTATTTCATATATACCAAAGTACAGAAAATTCTGGCATGCAGACTTTATCCAAATAATACGCAACTTAGTTGTGATGAGTCATTTTAAATATATGTTCTTAAATAATTCAATGTCCATAATAGTTAATGTTTTCTGAAGCAAGCCACAAAAATGCAGAAATTTTTAGCTTTTGATGGTGACTTCAGTTTCAAACTTAATTGGTTTACAACAAAAATATAAGTAACCCTTTGGTTCTACACAGAGTATGGGAAAAGAGAAAATGTGATGCAAACTTCTATATATTTTTACAATGGAAGAAACATGATTAGTGATGTTTCTAGAATACCCTTTCCCATGTGGTGTCAAAATAGCACTCTGAAAAATTCTAATTTAGTTTGCAATTTTCTAAGTCTGATTTAATTTGCAGTGATCCACACTATGTAAGCACTTAAAATGGTTCGAATAATAGAATGCCAAGCTAGTGAACAAAAGAGTACAGATAGTCGCGTTCAGCATGTGCTGAAACATTATTTAAAAGCCTGTAAAGAAAGAATGTTGAGTGCCATTACTCTTAATACTTCCCAAATAATAGTTACATTGTTGCACATCATTTTTAAATGTGTTCAATGTTTGTTTATAATTATTTTGATACATTGTTATAAATGATAGTTTAAACAAAATGTCATTTCAACGGAAATGTTTACTAATTTACATCTATCAACTTATTACCAGCGCCACAAGTATATTGCTGTTTCTGTTATGATGTCTCATTACTTATTGTACTAACATTGATGTTCTGATTTCCCCAAATGGAATAATTTTTGATCCACTGATGCTGTGGTAAGGCATGAAACTTGAATGTTTCTGTGCTAATGTGGTCAGTTAAGAAGTGGAATAATTGCAGAATGGAAATCTATTTTCTACTGTATCCCAACAATCATGTCGAAGGCTTGCAGCTCCTCCTGACTGAAGCTTCATCTTATGCCTGTTTAACATTTTAGTTCCCTCACCCAGCTACCATGATGGTTACTGCCCATGAACTATCCCCATTAAAAAATAATATACGCTTCAGGGTTGAGCACTGGCAATATCCCACCTCAGTGGTATCAAAAATAACTTAATGCACAAAATGTCTTAAGGGTACACCAAATTCTTTTTTTGAACTTTTTTTGTCTAAAGTGCCATGTATAAACCATTAGCTTTAAAGTGCATTTTTGAATTTTAATTCTAGTACAATTCCATTTGGACAGCATGTGCTCATTCTGAATTAATATTTGACCTGTGTTGTGCACATGAATTTTTGAATGCAGTGTAGGTAGGCCAATAAAATGGGCTGCTGCATCTGTGTTACCATTTTTAACTTTAAAATAGGTCATGGTCTATTGTAGGATCCTCGTGAGGATAGACACAATTTAGAGAAGAATAAAAATTGGTATGAAAAGATTTTGTCTCTTGTATTAAATTTGTTCCATTTGGCTTGTAAGCAGTTTTTATTAAGTATTGACCAGTGAAGACCACAATATAGTGCAATAACAACATAAGACAAGACGAGCAGTGGTAATGTATCGCACAGTTGTCTGTGAAATTTTATTTCAAGTCATTTGAAAAATAGAGAGCAAATGAAAGAAGACATGAAATATTCTTCAATCTCTTACAAAATAAAATAATGCCCAAATTTTGATTGGTCAAACTTATGGTGCAAAATGAATACCTATCTCAGCTCTTTTCAATATTTTAACAAAGAAGAAAAGGTGCAAAAGATTTGACATATTTTACAGAACAGTATTGGTTTCCAAGACTTGTAACCTAATTTATCAGTAAGGTCTGAAGTTTGCAAGAAGCTGTAAATAGGCCCACTAGATAAGGATACTCTTTTCATACCTTTCTTTAAAATTGCTTTTCTTCAAGGAGTCCTTTTGTCCAGATTTCTAGTTGGCATTATCCTACAAGCCTTTATTTTTAAAAGACTTGCATACCATTGCAATAATATTTGAATCGATACTGAATATTTATTATGGAATTCATTTATCGTGGAAACTTACTTCTTAAGGTGCATCTGTGTGATTAATTTTCTTGTGCCTTTGCTCCTACATACAAAAATAAACAAATGCACATTTACAAGTTTACTACGTATGAGTTTGATCAGTGCACATGAATCAAACTACATATTTTGCTGCATTACATTAGATGGAATTAAATTAACACACCATTGTGAAATTTGTGCATTTTGACTGAGATTATGTAGTCCAGTTTCAAATTTTTCAGCATTCCATTTTGGATTGAGGGTAGCAAGTAAATCACTGATATTTGGGAAGGTTGTTTGGAACTGAGTCTTAGGCTTTGGGCTTTATATATATCGTATTCAATTTTACTTCAAATGTCAGATTGTTTCCACGATCAGCAATTATAAGTCACTCTTGTAATCTTGGGGGGGGCTAAGTGTGAATGTGTAATTTTTCACATACAATAATAGTGCTTTTTCTAAAATATCGCTAAACACATCTTTTTTCAGAAATTACAAATGACGCTTCAATGAAAACATTGAACATGAAGACCATTTACATTCACGTTTTGCCGACAACAGCAGAGTCCTAAGATCTGTACAGATATTTTAGTTCTTATGAATGCTGCATTATGACCATGTTGTACTGCTAATGGATAATCCATACCTGGAATTAATTTAGAAAATTTGAAAATGTTATTTGACTGTACACTTGACACATCACTGAAGAAGATTGAATGCTATTTCATAAAATTACATTTTGTTTGATGTCATAAATATTGATTAATTTTCCTCAAACCTTGGCAAGGGTAATCTACAGTTGGACATTATAACAACATAGGTGTGAAGGAGGCTACAGGTGGGAAGGCAGAAGTGCTAAGTCAGTTCTTCCTTTCATTCTTCTGAGTACTTGATCTCCTCCATGCTGTTGTACTGAGCAGAGGCCAGGTATTTCCCCATAGACGGAGGGGAATTCATTTTAAGGCTGATGATGATTGATGTTCTTTATAGCTTGATCGGAATAACATTAATAGAGACCTGGGAGGCATCCTCTGCTTTAGGTGCCTTATGGGAGCTGGAGGCACAAAGGATACAAATAGAGAGACTGAAGCATTTGCTATCAGAAAAATATATAATTGAGCAGATAACAACAAGATACATTAAGAACAAGAGAAAAATTAAATCTGAAGCAGCAAAGTTTCCACAATCTTGTTCATCTTCTCTGAAGTCCCCATTTTGCACACTGGTTATGCCACAAAATTATGGAAAAGAACAAAGATTATTATTCCTAAATCTTTGTAGTATTAGCTTAGATCTTTGCAGCATCTGAATGAAAAATTGCCCTCTAATATTTTAGATTGAACTACCAATTCTACTGTTTAGAATTTTTCTTCGATAACAATTAGGTCTTGGCATTTTGTCCCCTTTCTCGTGGGCACTATTTCTAACAGTTAAACTGAGATTGTAGACTTTTAAATGATGCTACCAGGTTGTTTTGTGGCATCTTTGCAGAAAATGTTACCCTGCTAATGTTCACTGTATCTTAATCACCCAAAAGATAACATGGTTCAGACCTCATGGTCTGTTGAAAAATACTTCTTTGGATACAATATCTGCATGCAGATCAGTGGGTAGCTTGGTAAATGCATGTGAATCAAATTACATATTTTGCTGCATTACAGTGGATGGAATTAATTTGACAAACCATTGTGGAATTTGCATTTTGACTTCAAGATCATGTCGTCCAGTTTCAAACTTTTGAGTGGAGGTAGCAAGTAAACCACTGATATTTGGGAATGGTGCTTCGATTGGAGTCTTAGGCTTTGGGTTTCATATACATTCTATTCAATTTTAGTTCAGATGTCAGATTGTTTTTATGATCAACAATTAAGCAGGCCTGCACAACATATGCTTTACAAAATGCAAACATTGCCACTTTGAGAATAAAATTCTCCTTGGTAAATGTGGTGTGAACAGAAAATGCATTGGACACTTATTCAATATAATTGTCAAATAAGCAGTTATGTTGTCATCACATGCTTGCACTATATTATTTGGATAGACTCTAATTATATTCGCATTGTGTTAACTCCAGTATACATCCTTTGTCCCATGAATTTTAAGTTCATACCTGCGGTACTAACATTCTAATATTTTCACAATGGTATATTGTAGGAATGAACATGTTGCTTGTAGTTCTATTTCATTAACTTTCAAACAGCCTCTGCAGAAAATGCCTTCTTTAAACTTGAAACTATGCAATGCAATTCCCCACAAATGGGCAAAAATGGTTTGGATAACTAGCAACTTACAGTTGCTAAAGTACATTTTGGAAATTCTTGTTTTGTTATACAGTTATACATGTGCCTAGGAATTGTATTTTTCAAATGTTAAGCCTTCCTGTTGCTTCTGTAGTAATTGCATTACTCCTAAAGACCCATTGGGAAAGCAAATTACTTTGGGCTCACATTCAGTTATAAAATTTGGGTTCAGATTATTTGTTTCTCAGTACATGAATTAACTTTAAATAAATATAACAATGTGATGTAGTGACAATTGTAATGATGCACTTTGTTTTATTATTATTGGAACCTCTTAATCAATGCTGCTTCTTACCAGTAGCTAAATTTGTTTGTAATCCATTTGATGTAGTTAGTGTAGACAAAGTCTACGTCTAAACCATATGACACTTTTTAAACAATATACACTGAGAAAGAGGGCTTTATCAAAGCCACAGTGAACAAGGAGATTGCCCAGATATTGGATGAAATTTTTAAAAATGGGATATTAGGAAGGAAGACAGTACTTAAAATTGATAATTTACCTTGTCGGATAGGATAGATTCTAGATTGCTGAGGAAAGTAAGACTAGAAATTGCAAAAGTGCTGTCCATCGTCTTCAAAACATCCTTAGAAACAGGAGTGATGCCAAACAACTGGGGAGTTGCAAATGTTATACCCTTGATTGAAAGAAGGGAGAATTGGAAATACATGACTATGAGTAAACCAGTTTAATGTCAGTTTGTCTGGATGTAAGAAACATCTAGAAAGGTTAACCCCGGGAGAAAATTAAGCACTGCTTGGTAGATAGACATGAACTAATAGTGGACTTGTTAAGAGTAAATCATATTTAATGAACTTGAATGAGTTCTTTCGAGAAGCACCAAAGGATCGGTAAGAACAGTACACTGAACATGTATATAAGCTTTAACAAGTTGTTGATAACATACCACATGTTAGGCTTATTGGCAAAATTGAAGCCCATAGGATTAAAAATGGCAGTGGTTGTTTCAATATAAAATTGGCTAAGAGGTAAAAAAAAACAGATTTGTGGTGAGTGGCTGTTTTCAGACTGGTGGAAGGCATATAGTGGATTTCCCCAAGATTCACTGGGACCACTACCGTTGTGTTTTGGATCTGTGTTAATGAAATGGAATTTAGATTACAGGGTGCACCTTGGAAATTTGCAGATGTGAAACAACACTAAGGGACGAATGCCCCACGTTTGAGTCTATATACAGGTTGGTGAAATGGATGATCACAATGGCAGAGAAAATCCAATGCAAAAAAAAAAATTAGATACATTTTTCTAAAAAGGAGAGACAAGATATGCTAAATTGTAACTTTGGAAGGTTCAAGAAAAATGTGCACCAATTTTTCTAAGTGCTGACGATTATCCTAGCTTGTTACATTGAAGTGAAAATCAAAGATGATGTTTTGTTTCAGAGATAGTAGGAACTGCAGATGCTGGAGAATCCGAGACAACAAGGTGCAGGGCTGGATGAACACAGCAGGCCAAGCAGCATCATAGGAGCAGATGTTTTGTTTGTCTCTTTATTGATAGAAAATTTGATTTTTTTTCCCCAAATGTTAAAGCTATGGTTTAACTGTTAAAATATTTTTGCTGTCTTGATCCAGCTGTAGTTAAGTGCTATTTGCCATTGATTCACTGGTTTGTGATCTGATTTATTTAATGAGTTGGACAGCTGAAACAAATATTGCAGAGCAACTGAAATCAACAGTGATGCACCAGAAACATCAATAACAATCATTCAAATAAAATGTGATTCAGGAGCTACAAGATACAGAGAAAATATTTCCACTCACAGGGAAGTCAAACTAGAAGTCATCAAATTAAGATAGTTACCAAGAAATACAATAAGGAATTTGGAAGAAACTTCTTTACCCACAATGGTAAGAAAGTGGAACTCACTCCAACAGTTAGTGAGTGAATCAAACAGTATAGATCTTTTTCTGCTCGACAGTCTTTGGACGCAGAAGGAAGTAGAGAGTTACAATGACAAATTTAGATGAGGAAAGATGAAACGAGATTCCAGTGGAACAAAAATATTGACATGGACGAGTTGTACCAATGGCCTGTGTCTATGTCACATACCCACTGTACCCCTCTGTAATTATTACTACAGCAAGAAAGGAATTTTTGTAAACCAAAGGTAGAGAATTTATAATATCAAGTTCAAAAGCCTGTTAACATACAGTTATCAATTGACAAATCAACATTTTCTTTAGTTGTAGTTAAATCACTTCTGCTTTCCTTAGTAATCACTCACTATTGCTTCCTTCGTCCACAGAGTCTCAGTGCTCAGTTACAGACTGCAAGCCTTAATCTTGCATTCCTTTTAAGTGCAGAGGGAGCAGCAGGCACCTTTTCAACGTGGCGAGCGCTGAAAAGCCAGTGGAGGACTTGGACCATGCTATGTCAATGTCGTACCTGCAGCATATGTTAGCAGTTTACACAGCAAACACACTGCATAGTCTTTAAGCAATTGGCCATGTGCACCAAGAAGCACTACAGACTGCTAGGGGCTACCTCCATAGCCAGTCAAACCGATCATCTGATTACCCTACCAGGGTTAGCCTGGTCAGTCAGGCACTTGGTCTGACCAGAGTCTGCTGATCCATGTCTTTGGTTTGAGCCACAACCAGTACAGCTCGGTCAGTTGGGGTGCTGTAGAGCTCTAAATCTAGCAGCTAGCTGTTGTCAATAGTGAATAGGAGAGGACTGTGAGTTCCAGAATTAGGGCTTTGTAACTGGCTTCTACAGGCGGAGAGTGTTGATCCAACAAAAGCATTTTGAATTTCCTAAGTCGAAGATGCTGGTAACTTGGGAGCATTAATAATTGTAGAAAGGGGTTCGAGGAAAAGAAGAGGGGCCAATAGGTCAAAGGGGCCACAGGGACAGCAATATGAAATACAATATGAAGGATGGCTGGAAATCTGTATATTACAGGTGGAAACTGCAGGTCATTTGCACTAAAATAAATTTGGATTGCTGCCACATCGGATCAAAAGTTAACTGCACAATAACTACACAAAATGATACCATCTGCAGTGTGAGTGGAGTAAGTTACTGTTTTTTCTTCAGGTATGGCACATAAATCAGTTATGGGGACACAAAAATAAATCCTTGGAAGGACTCCAGAGATGATGATTTTCAAACAAGTTGCAAATTATTCTTCCTAATATCAGTTTTAATTTTTTGCACATAAATTTATGATCCCTGTTGAGACCTCGTGTTTCAAAAAAGGAAAATATGAACTTTCAGTTAATAGCTGAAAGACACAAGACGTTTTCATGTTTTAAGACTGACTGTAATAAGCAAACCAGGAGCAACATTGACAAACACTACTTAGGGTTTATACAATCTATGTTTTGAACTACTGATTTTTAATTTTAATTAAAATTAATTTTAATAAGTAATTCATTCATTTAAACATGACTGAAAAATCTCACTTTAACACACCAGCCTGTTCCCTGACCAATGTCTCTGTCTCAGGCTTGCTGCAGTGTTCCAGCGAAGCTCAGCGCAAGCTGGAACAACAACACCTCATTTTCTGCTCGGGGACCCTGCAGCCCTCCAGACTCCATATCAAGTTCAATATTTTTAGAGCCTAAACTCTCCCATGTCCTTGCCCCCTACCCACATACCAGGCCTTATTACCACATAGTCTGCCATTACACACTACTTATTGTTAGTCACTAAAAGTCCTCATTAACAGCTTTTCACCCTCCTAGTCAGATCATTATCAACTCCTTTGTTTGTCCAACTGCTCTTCTCTCTCTTTGGGCTCTATCCCCACCTATCTTTTCCCCCCTCCCTACCTTTTGCATATAAACCAACATTTTCCTAGCTACCATCAGTTCTGAGGAACAGTCACTGGACCCGAAATGTTAACTCTGATTTTTCTTCACAGATGCTGCCAGACCTGCTGAGCTTTTCCAGCAACTTCTGTTTTTGTTCCTGATTTTTATTGAAAATCTCACTTGACAGGTATACTATATACTGTTACTTAAATGGGATTTCAGTTCTTCTTGAACCAGTTTAAAGTGATTCCCAGCTCCTAAGGGTTTGCTTCCACATTTATCCTTTCCCAGCCTGGTAACTGTTAACTGCAGAATTTTATTTCACAGTGTGAGGTTTTCATGGTGATTCTCCATCTAATGCAAGCTAGGCAAATTTTCCAGTCTTGTCTCAAATTCTGACTAATTGACCTTTTCAATATGAGGGCAAGCTCCCATCTGCATTCCTGTGCATTGGACTGTAGAGGCTTTCAGCTTCTACCTTCTCCTTCTCTCCAGTATCCTGGCTAACTGCCTATGTCTGAAAGTTTCAAGGATATCTTAGATTTTGAGAGGGGAAGGGTTTCTAAATGTTTATTAGCATGAATCATGTAGAACTTGTATTCAAGTAGAAATCCTGATTGGTTATTGGACCAATGACGTAAATGGATTCTTTAAAATATAACTCTTTTGTAACCCAACATTCTTAACATTATCTTGGGACATTGGTGAGAAGAAGTCTTATCACTACAAATACAGAGTGCTGACATTGCCTCCAAATGTGAAAACCTTATGCCTTTCTTCCAGCAAACAACACAGGCCTCCTCATAATCTGGAACAGTCACAAAACTAGACCATATGTTAGGCAGATGTAAGAGCATGTCACATGATCGCCTTCATTTTCTTCTAAATTGAAACACTGTTCCAAAATATAACAATCTTGTATCTCTCATATCTTTTTTGCATATTAATTCACCAAAAAAAAAGTTCTAAATGGTTTAGAGCTCCTTAATCATTGCTCATATTTACAGTTTGCTGCGTTGCATGGATGTAGAGACTGGTCCTTTAAATAATGTTAACATTTGGCACAAATAATGCTTGTGCAATTTTTTGAGGTTCAAAATAACCCCTATTATCATTGCTATAAAGTTTTTAAAAATTTTTTCTTCAAATAAAAAGTCAAATCAGAATTCAAATGTTCTGCGATTATCAGATTGCCATGGCGTGACAAGCATGTAGTAACAATGGGAACAAGTTGTACGTTAACTGGCTCAGTTTTCAACAATAAATAGGATTATTAAACTCATGTTGCATCAGTGGTGCACAAGTACTTTTGGTATAGCAACTCATTTCAAATGGATGATAAATCACCAAACTGCATAACATAACCTCTGTGTGAATCTACTTTTCTGAATGAAAACTTCATCATTGGCTCCCATGTTAAAGGGACTTGCATTAAATTTTGTTAGAGTTCTC